AGAGCTAGAGAGCTAGAGAGAGAGAGAGAGAGAGAGAGAGAGAGAGAGAGAGAGAGAGAGAGAGAGAGAGAGAAAGGAAGAGAGAGAAAGACAGACAGGGAAAGCGAAAGGGGAAGAGGTGAAACAGCCGGCACACGGAATGATCGTTGTCATCGTTTCTCACAGGTAGGCCTAATGTAACCGAGTTATGCGACTGTAAAACCAGTAAGCTATCAGCGGTGACAGCGAGGTGAGACGGAGGTGTTCGGGGCAGTACGCCCCGTCACACCGCTTATACGCCCCAGCGAACACCACATCGCATGCCCGCCAGTCGAAAATAATTCGATTTCAGACGAAGATTCGTGACGACCAGAAGAAAAAATGACGCGGAAAAAAACTGGAATGTCTTGCCGTGAGCTTGCGACAATGACAGAGAGCAACAGAGGGCGTGTGCGGGATGGGGTGTAGATGGGGAGGGGGGGAGGGGGGTAGTCCAGTCAATATATGAAATACCCGGAACAAATTGCAACAAACAGAAGGTTTTATAGTTGGAAGTTGTTGATTGGACCCTCCTAAACTTCATATGCAAAATCGGCCAAAATCGGACTACGGGAAACTGGCTAATTAGCATAAATCCACAATGGCCGCCATTTTCATGTTATAAAATGATGTGAACCATCAGGAGAGTCAAACATCAGTCGCACAGCGACAGACAGCAACAAAGTATCTGTATACAGCGCGGGGAGGAGGGTGGGGGGAACTAATCCTAACCCTCACTCCCAAATGTTGGCCGGAGAGGTCAGAAGCGACAAGAACCTCGGGTGCAACCCGGACTCTAGCAGATATTTCCGCTATTACTGACCATCCCACGGTAAACGGGGAGGGGCACCCTCCGAATGTCACCGCGAGAGCACACACCGATCAGGGTCACTATACGCTGACAAAATCAGGCAAAGCTTGCTGCCTGCTGCTATAGCCATCCTACAGCGCACACAACTAGAAGTGAAAAGCTTGCTTTGGTAGCTAGTAGTAGCTATGCCAACAGCGGGAAGCAGCAAGCATGCTGGGTATATACGTCTACTGCGCACACGCCAAGGAGACCGACATATAACGTTGCAAACGCCGTGGCACACACTGCGTCGTATCAGTGGGCTGAGTGTGGCAAGGCAGCCTTTACACGGGAATCGGTAGAGATAATATTATACTCGGCGGCAACTGCCGCCGCCACTGCCGCTACCGCACTTACGCTCGGCGGCTGCCTCGCGATGCCAAACCGAAATAGAAAACAGCGGCCCTGTTCACGCGCCCACGATGTGCAGTGCACATGTACGGAGAGCTCGTCGGTCTGTGCCAACCAAAGGTCTATATTGCGTATAACTCTAGTTCTATAGCCCACGTACAGTTGCCGCAGGCTATAGTACTAGAGCTATATCGCGTACAACCTGCCCTCCAACAGCAGCCACTTTACGGAGCACGCGCGCGAGCGAGAGAGACACACACACACGCGCGCGCGCACGCGCACGCGCACGCACGCACACACTGGGGGGGATCTACGCCATAACCGAAGACACGTGCATGCGCGAAATACAGCCAAACCATATACACATATACCAGCCGCTCAAGGAAAAATGCTAAGTGGCCTGCCTCTATGTACACGTGGCCTATCTATAGCAGTAAACTACTATTAAGCGACAAGAGAGGCACGCCGGACGCGAAATTTTTTTTCCCACGAGAGTTCCGGACCCCAGCCAATCAGCGCACTCCATTCACTCGACTACCTCGAAGCAACAATGCAAAATTTATACAACCTAACCCTAACCCTAACCCTAACCCTTAACCTAACCCTAACCCTAACCCTAACACTAACTATAATACAACCAGGTCCGTCTTATATACGCACCATATATTACAAAACACTATCTGTGGTGGGTCCGGAACTCTCGTGGGGAAAAAAATTTCGCACGCCGGACAGTCAGTCTTTCACTTCGCTACTTGAATAACGCTCGGCCACGCAAATTCGGCAATCTCCAGAGCAGGGAGAGCTCCAGTGAAACGACTTGCGGGTATTTAATACTATTTATACATGTATGCGGACGGGCAGGAACGCCGGTGTAAGAGTCAGTAAGACTATGCTGGTTATTAACTTTTTTTTTGCACAAGGGCTGCTGGAAGATTTTTCACAAAGGCTCGGCTGCGCTCGACTGGCAGCTTCCAGGCGTAAGTCGATCAGTGGGATCACCGATCTCGAAATACGATCCTCCGAATAGAGATCTCATCCCAAGTGCAGCGCACATCAAGTCTATATAGGGGACAATGTACTATTAACGAATAACAGCACGTTGCCAAAAACCTCAATATACAATTATTGGGTATGGACACGTTGCCGAAAACCTCAATATACAGTCATTGAGTACGGACACGTTGCCTAAAACCTCAATATACAGTCATTGGGTATGGACACGCTGCCTAAATGATAAATCTCAATATACAATTATTGGATATAGGCACGTTGACTAAACCACGATGCATGATACAGTAGTAGGGAGGCTAAAACGTTCTCCAAACGTCTGCGCAATGACTGAATGAGAAACACACAGGCCGCCAACACACGAGGAGGGATGCAGGCCCATATTGCCTAGACACCAACGAACATCGTGGGACGCAGGGATCGACTTCCAGATAAAAAAGTATCCATGTTTCCTTGGTAACTATATCCAGGACGGAACATCGTCGGCCACGCGTTGCCTACACAACAATGTGAAGACCTAGACGGTCCCCAGTCTCGCGGCATCCACGTTACGCAACAATTTGCGGAGAAAAGCTCGACGCGGCGTCGGTCTCTCAGATGCCATTACTTTCGCCGCCCCGGGTTTTTTCTTCGTGGCGCAGCTCGGCACTTAGACGCAACTTCACTGATATGGCTTCTGTTCGTGGAAGGAAGGCAAGGGCCGGGGTTCTGGGCGAGTGTTAGATTACTCAACTGAGAAAGAGGGAGGGGGTGGAGAAAGAGGAGGGAGGGGGAGAGAGGGAGAGGCAGAGAGAGGGAGAGGCAGAGAGAGAGAGAGACACACACAGAGACAGAGATATAGACAGAGACAGAGAGAGAGAGAGAGAGAGAGAGAGAGAGAGAGAGAGAGAGAGAGAGAGAGAGAGAGAGAGAGAGAGAGAGAGAGAGAGAGAGAGAGAGAGAGAGAGAGAGAGAGAGAGAGAGAGAGAGAGAGAGAGAGAGAGAGAGAGAGAGAGAGAGAGAGAGAGAGAGAGAGAGAGAGAGAGAGAGAGAGAGAGAGAGAGACAGAGAGAGAGAGAGCTAGAGAGATAATGCAAACAACAGCACACAAATTGCAGATCTAATTAGCAGTAGACATACACGTATGCGGCCTACAATATGCTCATGACATGTTTACAACTACGTAAACTAAAAAGCCATGGTATAGGGACTGGTGCGAAATCACTGGCGTACCCTGCAAGAGATCACTATACTTTTTATTAGTCCTCATGAAATGACATGCAATAAGCTAGGTGGATGCAGTGATGATATGGATTAGTCACACAACGACGAGGATGGGTGAGAGGATGGATTCCCAGCAGACTACGAAAGCAGCTCCGACGTGCGCCATACTAAATATGAAGCCATGTGGTGAACTGCGGCACACCGCAGGCTCAGAGTTGTGAGTCTCGAGTGCACGCACACTGCACATATGCAGGTAAAGCCTTTAATAGCAGTTTATATTAGTTAGGAGGCATTGTTCTCGTTACTGGTGTAGGGAAACGTGGCTACCTTTCTCAGAAAGCTGTATCAGAATAATAGCAGGCACCACCTAGAAAGAAAGAGATGCACGTTAAACAGAAAAGAACCAGAGAAAAAGCGAACGTTACACATTCCAACCTGGAGATAAGCCATATTCGCACCACACCACAAAAGTGCCAAAATGCCTAGGATAGTGCACACTGAGACCGTTTTATAATACAAAAAAGCATAATGGAAAAGAGAGCAGGAAATGTGAAAGAAAAAGGCAGACACAATTAATGCATGATCATATTGCCATACACATCGAATAAATTAATGTTGTGAAATTAATAACACATGACCAAATCAGACACAAGCACCTACATCGAAACTCTGCTATGTCAAACACAACAAAACAAATTTCACGATGCAAAAAATTGTCCTAGAAAGGAAGTTACAGATTTTCTTTTATGATAGGATATGTCTCAACTTATCACACCAACATGACAGTTCAACAGTACCAATTTGGCCGTCTTCTGCATGCAGACACTGGAGGCGCCACCTCATCAACTGTACCTCGTACCACTTCAACACAGCTGCTTCAGCAAAAATATTGACAACTGGAGTAAGCTCGTATCTAATCTTTAGTGACAGCCTACCCTTATTGCCTGTACTCTGTGATTACCTGGAGAATGTAATGCTTCCGTCTTGGACACGTTTTGTATCAGAAGATTGAGGTTTGAGGGCCGGCTCGTATCAGTCGCCATGCGCATTGTGTTGCCGACCTCCATTGGAACGCTATCGTTGTGCATCGCATCATCAACCTCATTGAACAGCCAGTCACCCTGTCAAGAAACAACAGTAATGCTGATAGTTCGTGTCATGCATTCTCATAAGCACTGGAGATACGTCCCTACTGAAAGCCAGCAGCCACTTTCGGTTTTACTATATAGACCAGATAAAATTATAAAACGTATTCCCATCAAACAACATGTATAATTATTGTATCACAAGTACCTGATATTATTAATATGATAACATAATATAATTATAATATAAGTAACATTATTAATATCTAATAATAGTAATAAAAATGTAATATTATATCAAAATACACGTCTCTGTCAAATGCCTATATTCGTAAAGCTCTCATGTCATGCACTTTTAGAATGCACGTGAACGGGTTACTCACGTGTGAAAGCAGGGTCTCAACGATGCGACACTGGTCAGACATATCCGTCACCATGCTCATCATGCTCTCCCCTGACTGTCTCACTATCGTTGGTCCGAACACTATAGCTAAGTTCTTCTCTTCCATCTAATGAAGGAAACGAGAGTCACTTTCTAAGACAATTTGTGAATTACAACAAAATAACACATAATACAATATGTACATTACAATATGATACAAATTAACAACAAATTCTGTATCGTTTGCCCATTGTAGGCCTCTCGATATGTGAGTACCACTTTCTGCATATAGAATCAGTGCACAACCCACTATCAGTTTTGATGCGACAAATGATTTCATGACAGGATTCCTGTGCCATGAATTTTGTTTGAATTCTCTAAATGAGTAGTGCTGTGCCATGGATGTGGACATTCGGAGAATTCTAGGAGTTCGTTCACTATGCTCTCATACCTTGTTCTTATCTGAGTTTGCAGCGACATTCCTGAGATGGTTAGTTATATGCTTCAATGTCTCATAGTTGTGGTCGGGCAGCAATTGTATCTAGGAAGATATGTGCAATTTAATCATCATGACTGTTGCAAGCATTGTAACTCTGAAGCCTTAGTCACCATTTTTTTTTTAGCTCATGTCAAAGTAAATGGCACACAAATATATCAAAGTTATATAACGTAGTTACAAGTAACTAAGAAACAGTAGCATCCGCTAATGTAGTACCTGCAAACATATTAAAACGTAATCTGAGTTTTTAAGGCAGGAATGGATAATAATCATGTTAATGGTCTTAACTAATAGAGGATCCCAACGTATCTTTGCTCACCAGTTTCTTTAATCGTAACATTCGCTGTCTTGAATCTGGATCTCTATTAGCTTGTAGAAAATCCGGATACATGTCATTTGTAATCATTGACTCTGGCAATTTTCTGTAAAGAAGCACGCACCTTAGGATATCACTAGGCCTGCAGGATACTGTACGTATAATGTAACCAGTTCATAGCTCATATGCTTGCATTATGAAAAGAAGTGATTTATGACTCAGCAATGTAGATATATAACCTGCCACCACATAAAACACGTCTGGCATTCACTTAACGCGAAAGCTGGAATCTGATAACCATGAGTTGTGAAAGACTGCATGCAGTGCTCTATGTTCACACCACACCTTCACCACGTTCCACTCTGAGCCCCCCACCCTGACCGTGTGGCTGACCAGTCGGTAAAAAGCCGCCAGCCGAGCAATCGCCGGCGTACCTAAAGAAAGACTTGAGAAGGCTCGTTACGACGTTGATCTCCTTCCACTTCTGCTCGTCAAGGTTGATGTTCTCGAGGCCCTTGTTGACGTCGTCGGTCAAGTGGGCGACAGCGGCCGTGTTGCCGGGGATACGGTAGACGCCGATCACGTCCAGCCCTCGGTGCTCCACTACCGTCGTGCAGATGTCCACGAGCAGCGGAACAAACTGCAACGAATCGGTGAACGTTTGAGGCCCCGTCGGCGGTCAGTGAAACATACGTGGATGACGGAAGGTCGTGAGAACAACGCGTTGATCATTGATGTTTTACGTCCGTCGCTGATTTTACAGCCGTATGGCTCCAAAGAATAAAGTGGTTTAATCTGCATGGTATAGTGCAGAGGATCTACATCGTTGCTTGCTGTTTTTTCCGTACCTCATTGTTGGCGGACGGCGGGCACATCTCTAATGGAACACCTATCGTGTGACCTGCCAACTCAGGCTCAATGTGAGAGTGAGGCCCGTGGTGACTCCACTTTTTCAGCCCTTTCACCATCTTGCCCTTCCAGCTTTTTGATCCTTCTTTGACTTTAGGTGAGACATCTATAGTATTTCAAAGAGTAAAGAACCAACACTTCAACCTGGGAGCACGCACTACAATGGTCCCGGCTTTATCGAGGCAGGTAGGGAACTAGAAAAATGCTCTGATTAAGTGACAAGCTGCACATGCACGTCTAATTGTACCTCATGCAATCGTCTGTACACAACTCGCACTGTACAATACACACAGTTTTAGCTCTAAATATGATTTTTGAGCTCATTTTCAGTTTGAATCCTATTATCGTTTTTACGATGTTCACTTCAGAAAGAAGGAAGTTTGTCCTGCAGGAAACTATCCTGTTTATCCTCTGGACTGGCTCATCTATCCAAGTGAAATAACGGGTGTACGAATTGTTTTTCAGAGTCATGTTATGTTTAAGTGATGCACCCGTTTATCCAAGGCATTAACGGTGTTACCAAACCATATTGAGACATCAGACCACACAGCGATGTGATAAAATGCACTGTATATATTATTAAATTCGTTTAGCATTCAAATACAAAGTGCTGCTTCAAACCCATGTACAAATGTAATAAACGCTGACGAAGTTAGTACAGTACAAGTGTAGTTGGACAATAACTGTCTAATTTCATTTCCTTAAATTCACGTTTTTGTCTACGAATTTTAATTGCAATTTAAAATCCACTCAAATTCTAGCTCTAGTTCGTACCTCTCTCTTGTGATGAGGATTTCCGGATCTTGAAGCTGGGTGACCTTGAGGGGGAACTGACAGACTTCTGTCTGAACGGCAGGCGTCTGGTGCTGCCCTTTTGCACGGGCTGAGGTGAACGTGTCTGACCATCGTATAGACTGCTCTTCCTAATAATCAGCTGTGCTGTGTCAACTCCATGGTCCTGTAAAATGGCTGCAATTTAGCCTGGATATCCACGTAGGACAACATACTCGTTTGTGGGGGGTAATGTATCAGGGTGTTCTACAACTGGATGCATGGCAATGATGCAAATACACAGCATTTTATGTGCCACATTTTATAGCATTTCGTGTGCTCGATGACCATCGAATTTAAACTTATTTCATGACGGCTATACTAGATTTTCATTATTCACCAGCTCAACTAACTTTTATCAATACAAACTTGTTTAATTAATCAAGGCAATTACTGTTCATCTGTAGAATCTCTGACTGTTTCTCTCCTTAACCTCCTAATTAAACACTGTAACAAGTCTATTAATAAAGTCAAAAATAATCCCCTGCGTCATAATATCCTCTTATTAGTCATAGCCAATTGATTACCACCTAAATTAGGCATTTCAGCTATGCGTCACGCATGTTCTTGCTGGAACGAGGCTAATTAACTCTTCTCATTAAAGTTTCGTGCTATAATTAGAATAAGCATGGGATGGCTACATACGATTTTTTTACTAAAGTGCAGAAAGTACATCCTACAAACCCCCACCACACGCAGGCACACACATGCACACGCACTCAACACACACACATCCACACATGTATATAAACAAGTATATATATATATATACACATAGTAATACTATGATTTCACAAAATAGGATCCCAAGCTGTACTTACGTCTCCATCTGGATTGCTATTAGCCTGTATGGCTTGTATCCACAGCATCATGGACGGGATGTCTTCTGTCTGTAAGAGGTACTCCGAGCCATTGTAGGTCGTCAGTCGGAACACGTACTTCCGCTTTGTGTAATCATGTGCGATGTCAATAATGGCCGACTTAATGCTGATGGGTGGCTCGTCGTAGTTTAATGGTGGCTGAAGAAACAGTGCACTGATTATGAGCTTGCAAACCTTACGCATGTTGTAAAATCGGATTACCCTTTACGATTGCGAGGGACTCGAATTATTAATGACTAAACTACATGTACTGCTTTTTTAATTATGCCACAGCACAGTGGAAACCTGCCTGCACAGAACATGGTGCTTGTACCATGCCAGATGTGTGCATGACTATAATGAAGCTGCTATAATGATCTAAATTATTTATGACACAGAAGAAAAGAAAATATCATGCAACTAATTAACAGCTACAATGAACATACCATTGCAGATTCTTTTTTGTCCTTATACAAATATAGGGCATGGCCTCTTAGCACAACATAAAATGGCTTCCAAGACCTATCACTGGCTCTCTGTTGGGTGAAAGGAAAATAGCAATTATGAATCAGACACGTAAACGTGTCAGCACATACACAAAACGTGCAGTTGGTATGAACTGAATCTTATTATATCAGCCTACGATTACAATACACACAGACCTTTCCATCTGTTATAAATTTCTTCAGGTGGAGGTATCCTTCTTTTATCACATCGAACATGGGGCTGGGAAGATCTCGTGATGGTTTTTCATGCTGTGATGCAGCCTCTACTATGTGAGGCGTCTGCAAACATCAGGAAATGGACAGATCATACATATGTATATGAATATATATATATATAAATAAAAAACAACTAACAGTGCCTGCCATTACTAGGTTACATGGCATCAATCAAGAATAACACAACTTCCCACAATGTCAATTGCCTCATTTCTTTAAAACAATAATAATGTAATTAAAATAAGGCTTTATCTCCAGTACACACCATCTATATGCCAACGAAAATAGTACATTTACACCTTTAATTCATACTTATTATATAATTTTGCAAAATGACTATAGATTATTACATACCCTCTCTCCAAAGAAGGCCTTTAATTTTTTTATGCTTGAGCTCTTATGCGGTGTACTAAAATGAGAAGAGTGTAGGTAAGTGAATGATGAACACTGACCAGAAGGAACCACCAATTCAACAATTCTATTACGCAGGAAGAAATTATACACGTAACCATGTCTAAGGCAACCAGAATCATTATCGCTGATTAGATATGCAAGGTTTATTACCCTGCTGCAAGTAGCACTGAGATAATTACTGTACTGTTTACATTCAACAAACATTCTTCTTCAATGCATCTGCATGGCAGTCTACTCTCATTAAAACACCGTTTTTATACGTATATCAGCAGCTGTATTTTATGCACGCTAGTAAAGCACTTTCCGATCGGCCACACCAGAGCCGCACATATAAGATTTCATGTCTCAAAATTCTTGGTGAAAACACGACAGACGTACTGGTCTTTGCGGAGATCCTCGGCACTGTGGGTGGCCATAATGTAAGAGCTTCTCCTCAAGGCTTTTTCAGCATCTTCGACACCTGCAGACACAAATAATGCTCAGCACGGGCACTTTATAAGAGCGTACACCATGTCAATGGCATAGACATAGGCGAGTTTCCTATGTAGAATTACTTTGCTTCTGCACAGCTATTGCAAGCAGAACTGATATCACACTGTGCCAGTAATACGAATTGTCGTGTTCTGCTGTATTTTTTTTTTTTTTTTTTTATTTTTTTTTAACATTTTTATTCTGCATATATCAGAGTATTTGGTATAGAAGATTATGTTAAACACAGTTAAATAATGTGCAATAAAAGCTTACTAAGTTCCTGCGACTTTGCTCGCAGAGTAACGCTTGCCATGGACGTGACAGTCGTGTCAGAAGCACTGCTTGGTGGCAGGCCTTCGACTGTAACACACAGTGCATACAAGGACCATATAGTGAATGCAACCAGGAGTCAGTCATGAAAGTATTAATGCCAATTCCATTGATTGATATTGTGTTTTGCACAAGTTCAAAATATGAGATTTAAATAGTATCCATTGCAAGTCATGTTTAGAAAATATGCATCTTCCACATCTGCATCGAATTTCTCTATCATTAGTTTCCCTACATTTTCACTGCGTATATATAAATATATATATATATCTATAAATATAATGTAAGTAGACAGCATGCTATCAAGCATAAAATTTCACACACACGCTAAACAATGCACTAAGTCAAGCAGAGATAGAGGGAGAAACAACATGCCAACCTCCGAGCATTGCATCAAACTGCTGAATGAGGGCAGCAAAGGAGCTCAAGTTCAAATTGAATGTTTCCATGTTTGGCTCGCCAATGCCAAGGTCACTGTTGGGGTCACTAGCGTCACTGCTAGGCTCACTGCCTGCTACACGCTTCTGCATCAGCCTAGCCATGAACTCATCCTCATCTTCATCCTCAATCTCTTCCTCATCTTCTTCAAACGTCTGGGCCATACCACCATTCAACTCATCCATGTACAAGTAATGATCAGAGACCAGTTGCAGACTCGGTCGCTGCAACACCTCTGCAAGCAGACGCACACACACACAGCAACATTTTAGTGACCGCAAGCACATTCACTCAGGCACATGCAGGGTGAGGTAGGGTATCATGTTAATAGCACAATGCTCTAAAAAAAACATGAATTACATGAAGACAGCTTAATCACAACATTCCCAATAACTGTGATGCATGCTCATCGGTCGACAAGTCGACAGTGCGACGGTCAACTATGACAATTGAACACATTTAGCAACAGGAATACACAAAAACAAATCAGTACAAATGAAAGGTGACACTTCTGCTGCTAATGTAGCTACGAAAATGGCACGCAAAACATGCTAATATGCATTAGAACCTTATTCTCCATCATTGCACAAAATACACACACAGCAGATGTTACCATATAACTACAACAACATCACACGAAACCCATGCAAAAAAACAACATTCCCAGAATACGATAAGCAATGTAGCTGTATATCCTCATATCTCAGTCCACGTCTATGTCATACTTCCAGACTTCCTTGACTGTATTATTACTTGATGCAACCACTATCACAGCCAGAGTCATGTAGATATTACAGGCAGCAAACACATGGGCAGGCAGGAAAAGCAATGATGCCAGAGGGTGCTTACTCTTGTATGGCGAGGCGACAGCAGAGAGGTAGGAGTTCTGGCGAACGGCTCTTGTTCTCTTTCTCTCCTCTTCTGTTGAATGCAGCAGATCAGCTTCGGCAGCAGCATCCATGATTTCCTACGCAACAATGTTATCTATAGCTCACAGTCAAGTTGACAGAATCAGATAATTAATATCATAGATGTTTTCAACATGAGATGCCACAGATGTGAAATTTAGAACTTTGCTCAGTGTTCTCATTAGGAACCGGCCACCGGCCGAATTGACCGTCTACTCTGCTGTTTCGGCCGGTTACAATTGGCTCAAGTATAATATTTAAAAAAAAAAGAGAATTCATTTGCATAATTTTAGTTTGCTGTAATTATTCTCCAAAGTGAAAGTGTTTCATGAGCTACTACTAATAAATCAGTTGAGTATATTTGTATGCATGTTATGTGCACAAGAAGCATTGTTTTGTTTTTAAGTAACGCTATTTACATACTTAATTGTCTAACTCTTATAATTACTAAATCGTCATAATTTGGAAAGTTGGTGAACTCTGAATGTACCAGGAGAAACCAAATTGGAAAAAAGGACCATACTGTAATCCAAATGTGTCTGTTTACTGCAGCTCGGAATACACCAGATTGCATCTCAGAGCATCAAGGTTTTTAAAAACAATTTGGGGGGTACCCCCAAACCCCCCGCCCTCACTCCCCCACGGCCTGTTGCAAAAGCATTTCGGCCTGTTACTATAAAAGATAATGAAAACCCTGATGCTGTTTAAGATTTACAGGACTATCTAAGGCACCTTCACATACATGCATCAGTGTTCATCGCTTTCTATTTGAGCAAATAAGCCTATCAGACTGGACTGCAGCCATGCTATTAGTAAGATGATACGAAATTGTTGCCTTGATATTAAACTAATAAAATGTCAGCTGGCATGGTTAATTGGGAAGATATTTCAATGAATGTTTAATTCATAATTTGGATCTTATATCATCTTTTATCTTCATAACTGCAGGAGCTATCTGTTCGCATTGTTGGCACAGTCACTGACAATAATACCAATGAAAACGCCACAGATAGCACTGTCAGCTCGCTACCTTGGTGATGGTGATGAGGGGGGCGGGTTCCACATGTTGCTTGCTATTTGGCATGGACGGGGCCAAATCGAGGGAAGCTCGTCGAACCAGCAGCTTCGGTACTTGATGCTGGTCGTGTGTCCTCTTCTGCTTATCCTTCTGCTTTTCGATCCTCTCGAGTTCTACATGAATGCAACCGAGACGGGCCATTTAGACGGATACGTGTATCATGCAACCAGAAGTTTCAGCAGGTTAACAGCTTCATGTTATTCACAGCAGCTACAATTAATGTCGTTTACAGGCAATGGATGGTATGAAATATATACGTAAATATTGTCCTTTCTGTAGCTTAATGAAAATAAGAACAGCCCCAGGGTCATGAGACTGCTGTTATCGCATGCTCATTAGTATGCAGCAACACAGCTTGCCTAGCATATCCAGTGATTCAAAAAGATCCACGTGATTTTATCTATGCTGAAGTTTCTCACTTACTGTTTACCCGCTAGTTGACGGCAGCGATGGGGAACTAATAACGTGATTCTTAGTTTAAAAGAACATTGTGTTTCATGTCTATTCAGCTTCTACCAGATGACATCCATGTTTGGATTAATTTAACAGATCTACATGAAATAGAGCAAACGTAAGTGATTCCTATCACTATGTACTGCACAGCCTAAATCATTCCATTGTCTGGCAGACCTTGCCAATGGCTACTGCAATGCACAGATCATTTGCAGCAGGGTCAAGCTCAAGTCAAGGTTCTGATGATTACTGCACTCGGTCAACATATCGGCAACGTTTGAAAAATGGCAATTACAATTACGATTACACATTATTTATTAGCTATTTTTACAATGCAATATCTGATATATCTTTTCTTGCCCATTATGAAAAATACCGATCCAATGAGGGTTCAATAAACGAAATACGATAGTACTTCTGAGTTACGATTGCTAGTTTGAATCTTGGGAGGTTAACTGGTATTCACCCGGGAATCTCATACCTTCGACACTGAGGCCAAATAGCGTGGCCCTGTAAGCAACGTTGTGCATGCTCAGAGCGGCCACCTTCTCAGCCTCTTCCTTGTAATTCGTATGTGCTTTACCTCGTGCTGCGATCTCATCTAGACTGCCCGACTACAAATGAATTATGCACAATTATAATAAACAGCGAACTGTAAGAATACTATCGAGATAAGATCTGATGGCTTGCATAGGTACCAGGACATGAATGCATATGCTATAAAATTAACATCTTTCCATGGCTGTGCCAAACGTGGCTGTCTTGATAACCATCTCAAGGTTCTATATACACCATGTGAATATATGGGCATCGATAATTAAGCACACCTAATTAATGGTTAGAGTTCACTTCAATTAACTAAAAATTGTACTTAAACCTACTTGTAACTTCAAAAACACAAGGTTTTATGATGCATACTCACTGCATTAATCACGTATTGTGCGGCACTACATTACTGTATTCAGTGAAAGCAAACAACAAACAGAGTGGGAACACGGGTACGGTTGCCCCATTGCACCTACACCTATTATATAATATATCACACATATATATATAATGATATATGTAAACACATTATATATATATATCAACGCCGCAGATCAGTATTGCGGTAAAGCGAGCGGCTCATTCGCGAGACTGCGGCGACACGCGGACGTGACCGCGGCAACGCGCGCACGTAACCACAGCAACACGCGCACATGACCGCGGTAACGCGAGCACGTAACCGCGGGGATGCGCGCACGTAACCACAGCGACGTACCTCAAACTGCTTGTGCCGCTGCTGCACGAGCCTAAGCGCGGCGATGCGCTCCTCGTCGCTCTGCTGCGGCATCACGTCGAGCTGCGTAAACGACCGGCTGATCGGCACGCGCAGCTCCGGCGTCGTCATGCGCTTACGCAGCGGCGGCTTCACCTTCTCCTTGCCGTCGCCAGGGGGCGTCACCTGCACGGCGGGCAGCGTGTCGGGTTTTGTCGCGGCGGCGGCGGCCGCCTCACCGGAAGCGAATCCCCACGAGCCGGACGACGACAGCGGCGCCGGAACGTAGTCCTCGTTGACGGTCACGCCAAGGAACTGTCGGCGCGCGTGCTGCGTCTGCAACGCCGGCGCCGCCGCCGCCTCACGCCGCTGCACCGCCGCCGGCGCCCCCTTCATCGTGAACGGCGGCGAGACCGGCTCGAGGCTCTCCTTGTCGAGCAGGCCCGCCTGGATGAGAAACGCGCGCTTGGCGGCCTGGATCGCCGAGCGGCCGCTCTGCACGCCGTTCTGCACCCACGGCGTGCAGATGGGCCGCGACGGCTTCGCCTCGAGGCTCTGCGCGACGATTTCCTCGTGAATCTTGCTGAGGCTCGCCGTGTAGCTGAGCCGCTTCGGCTCGGGAACGGCGAGCAGGTGCGTGTCCGACTTGTAGCGCGCGTCGTCGTCGCCGCCGACGCCAGAGTGCTCGTTGTAGTTCAGCTTGCCGGTCTTCATGAGCTCGGCGAGCGACGGCATTTGCCGCAGCCCCGCCGTCGTGTGGATGCTGTCAAGGCTCGCGCTGTTCGCGACCTGCTTGCGCAGGCTCGGCGCGCGCCGCATCTCCGGTGCTGCCGCCACCGCCGCGACTGCGCCCCCTGGCGGCGGCGTCTCGGCGGGCGCGTACGGCGACGGGTACGCCGACCGGGTGATGGCAACCGACGCGGGGCACTGCGAGAAGACGGGCGCGCATGGCGCGGCGGCGTTGTCGTGCCGCGGCCGCAGGTCGAAGCTCGTGCGTCCGCGCAGCAGCGGCGCCGTCGGCGAGCGGCCGTACTTATGCGCGTGTCGCTGCTGCGCGGCCGGGTCGTCGCTCGTCGCGAGGTTGAGCGCCTCCTGCGCGCGGCACGACTCGAGCGAGTTCTTGCCGTACAGGTGGTCGACGGCCTTCTTCACGTAGACGCCGGCGACGTCGCGTGCCGGCGGGATGCGCAGCTTCACGCTGTGCGCCGCGTCGTGCTCCTGCGCCGCCTGCTTGAGCCGCTCCTGCGAGCGCCGGATGCTCTCGCTGCCGAACCCCAGCGGCCGCGGCGGCGGCGTCGACCGCTGGCCCGCCTGGCCGCCGTTGCCCGCCGTCGCACTAGTTCGATCTTCGTTCGCGCCGCTGCCGCTAACACCGGCAGCGTCGCTGGCCGCAGGGTGGTCCCAACCTGGGTACGCAGACTGGGACATTGGCACCTGTGTGTTAAACACGCGCGATGCCGCACTGTTGCTGTCTGCACCCGCTACATGGGGAGGTATGGCTACGGGTGCAGCTGAGCCCAGTGGCGGCACCGTCGTAAAGTTCTGCGGACTTGGTGCTGTTGGAAATCCTGTAACAGTTAAGAAAAGATGGTTAGCTGCGTCAGTCGTAGAAGCTACAATACAAGCATCGATTTCAGCTGTTTGAAGACACAAGAACTAAGAGAATTTTTGAGAGATTTTTGAGAATTACATTTATTACCACGTCAATTACGGTAGGAGCTGACAGAGCGATGACTTCATCATCAGAAGGCATTGCCTTACCTGTTTCTGGATGGTCCTTCATCTCTTGCTCCAGTTCATCCGCCTGATATCTCCGGCCGTCTGGTGAATTGAAGAAACTGCTCTGCTTGATCTTACTAGCCTGTCGAGCATAGGGGGCAGGCCCTAGAGAAAGGAGGGCGGGGCTTACCCGGTGACGTCGCTTTGGTGGTGACAGAGAGACCTGAGCTGCTGACTGACTACTGGGAGAAGGGATGGTAACTTCTGAGCGATACCTGCAATGCCAACAGAGAGATGCCCATTAGCATTCCGTTACAACCTACCTGCTATTCGTTTATATTTTAATTTAATGAGGAAAAATTCACTACTTTGCATTCAATTAAAGATAATCTAAAGCAAAATTGTGAATATGACGTTTTTACAAACGAAATTTCCATTCACGATTTTTTCTCTCTAAAATAGTCCCGAATTCTAGCCAGTACTGACTATACACTGCACGCCATGGTACACACTTTAACCCGTAACAATTAGTAGAGGCATAATTTATTTACGTATGCGTTGAGAGGAAAAACATACCTTGCTGGCTGGGGCTGCGCTGACTCCTCAAACGGCTGTGGCACACTGGCTTCTGCAGGGAATGGAGAAGGTTGTGAAGTGAAAGGTGGTGGGGAGAAGTGAGATGTGTACAGGGGAGGAGGACGGGGAATGTTGGTGGCTCGACCAGTGTAGGGGTCGTGGCCCCGGCTGTACATGTATGCCGACTTTGGGTAAGCCTACAAACAACAGAAATGTGTGGTAAAACATGATCGAAACACGGCTGTAACATGCAGATAAGTGTATATTTTATACTCAGTATTTTGTGTGTCATATCTATCGTTCAGGGGATAGGCAATGCACTAACTTTCTTTGTAAAACATATTAAATTACTTAAATGTAATATGATTTGTTATGACAGTGTCAGCATCAAATGCCATATCTTATGACAGCAATTCAGATCCAAATATATACATTTTACTATTCATGTGACAGGACTTAGTAATGTGCACTAGAAGTTCCAACTTATATATCCACTCATATGTCCGTTTGGCTTCTAAAAGAAGCGGTTTTACACCTCACTGTCGCTACAAGCGTCAATACACCGTACAGCATGGTTAGACACATATCACACTCTCCCAGTGACTCAAGGCTATTTGCCGAGGATGGATGCAAGCAAAAAGGTCAAGTAGATATTCCCGCTACACATTCCCGGCATGTAGGGTGGTGTGAACTGATCTGACAGATCAGTGGGCACATATTTCTATTTTTGACGCCGACCGTGTAGCGGGGGTGAGCACAAGCTGTTCAGGGCCGCCTCTCCAGACCCAGCAATGAGTCTGTGCCCAGCACGACGTCGAACACTTCAGAAACAACGCAATCTACTTTACTCTTCTCGGTAAGGCAGACAAGGTCACAAGGTCCGGGTATGTCATTGCCGCATACCTGCAACATGCAGCCAATCATGAGCGCATGGTGTGAACGCAACCTACAACCGTGAGCTGATCATCAAATTTACCAATTCCCAATTTTAGCATTTTTTTTCTTAAACAGCCTTCACGGCTAGCAGTACATAGTGCTTCCCTAGCACAGCTACAAGCACAACAACAACAACCGGGATGACTTCCTGGATGCGGATACGATTTTTCAGCTTCTCAGAAACCACCCGCACATGTGCCGGACCTCCTGCCGGCCGGCCTGTCCATACTTGTCACTGCACCAATTAAGACACACGTGTGTTCATGCGCGCACTCGTGAAGGTCTAGTTGAAATAGGCTGTGGTGAACGACAGACGTTTTGAAGAGACATGCATCGCTCTACGTCTAGAGAGATATTGCCAGCTTGCACGTGCAACTGCCGAATTTTCACTTCACGTACATTCATTAACTGCTGCTGCGGAGGCAAATCCTCAGACAGCACTCACGCCGAGGACTGCTATGCTGAAAGGATTGAGAGCACGGGCAACAATAGCAAACAAGAGAAACCACCAACCACAGCAGCAGCTTCTGCCGCTTCCGCAGCATCTCCGCACCCGTCCGGACCGTCGGCGGCTGCTGCTTCCATTTTCTGCGTGCAGTTGTAGTCGTCGCACCCTCGCTCCCCTGTACACTCCTATCCGCTCAGTGTCATCTGCAACCGCGCATCGTCGCAAAACGAAGCTAACGAGCACGGTGGTGAAGCCAGCAGCAGCGTGTAGCCACGCAAAGACAGCGCTCCGCTTCCCACGCCATCCACCGCTGCACTGCTGATGCCGAACGCAAAAACGTAACTTTACGAGCCCGGGCCTAAGCGGCCGCGATGCCTATGCGCTGGATACCAACCCCCCTTCCTCTCCCGTCTCTTCTACGCTACTCGCGCGCGAGAGCTTCGGGGGGAACCTACAGCTGCAAAATAAAACCCGGCAGATATCGGATTCCACGAATATCCACGACGCAGGCACTAATGCGAATGAGTGCAAAAACGGCCACGGTGAAACTGGGCTTTTTGCAAACATCTAATTACCAGAATTAGTCTATAATCAGGCGGAACAGCGTGAGCACAAACACTGGCACGACCGGCAGCAACAACAAGCCAGCTCCCGAAATAGTGCACCCTGCTGCACTGATCGTGTAACCCCCACCCACCAGCCGCGACCTTCCTTCCTCCTCCATGCAGTATTGAACTTACCCCTGTAAACTCACCCACGAGCATCCTGTATTATGGTTACCGTTATCCATGAGCATAATCAGAACCTTTCCCAAACCAGAGCTAATATACGCGCATACATACACCACACGTACGCATGTGTCTAAAAGCACAGGAGGAGGTGGTCGAGGAGACATGAAGGAGATACAGGGAGAGAGCAGATGAGAGCGTGCGAGTAAGTATGAGAAGAATTGTGAGATGGCGCACACACACATGAAGAATGGGGGAGAGACAGGGAGAGAGAGAGAGAGAGAGGAGATAGAGAGAGAGAGGAGAGATAGAGAGAGAGCGAGAGAGAGAGAGGGAGAGGGGGAGAGAGAGAGAGAGAGAGAGAGAGAGAGAGAGCCGGGGGGAGAGAAGATATGAGAAGAGAGAGAAGAGAGGAGCAGAGAGAGAGAGGGCAGAAAAGAAAAAGAAGAGAGAGAGAAGAAGAAGAGAGAGAGAGAGAGAGGAAAGAGAGAGAGAAAGAGAGAGAGAGAGAAAGAGAGAGAGAAAGAGAGAGAGAGGGAAAGAGAGAGAGAGGGGGGGGGAGAAAGCGAGAGAGATGAGTGGTGGAGAAACCAGGATTGCGGCGAGGAGTTCAATGGATAAAAAATAATGTTCAATAACGCGGCGGCTGCAGCATGGCCTATATAGCTCTCACGTATAATTACAACCTAGATACCGACAAAACCAGCGCGCTACGAAGTAGGCACAAGACAAGACCCCACGCTGCAGCAGGGTAAGCGCATATCTGGCTTCACTACCAGGTAATGGAAACCACGTGCCGTGCTCTTCCCCGATTTAAACTCGGCAGCGCGCACTCGGAGCCGAGTCATCTCTCTCAAGGTCCGTGCCGCCGTCAGACGGGCACTAAATGCTGCCCGATAATTTACCCAACGAGTGAAAACAGAATGAGTTTTTTTGGCGGCGGCAACAGCCACGGGAGAAGGAGAAAGAGTGCTTCACCCCTATTTATAGTGAAAACAGCTTGCGCTTTGGAGACCCAACGACGCGCGACAACTGCTCATCGACCAAGTGCACATTTTATCGGCGGTCTTTTTACATCAAACGTCATCGCCTTCCACTGAGCCATTTCGTCGGCGTTATCCTATTGCAGAGACTTGTATCGATGCCGATCGTAGTCGCGTGCGAATTGTATGTCGATACAAAGATGCGCATGTATATAGACGGATCAGACACGGCAAAGCCGGCAATGTAAAGGATCCGCTCGTTGATGCGCTCGCAACTGTATTATATTGGGTCATAATCTCGTATAAGACGTCTCGAGGTTGTCTGTTGTTGTAAGACGATCTTCGCCTAACAGCAGAGAGGAAAGCCGATGCTATAATATTTCACATGCAAAGCACTTTATTCGACCATTCCGTTATAAACAAAAAACCAAAAATGCACGCATATATATGTATATATAAATAAATGAATAAATGAATAAATAAATAAATAAATAAATATATATATATATTTGTGTGTGTGTGTGTGTGTGTGTGTGTGTGTGTGTGTGTGTGTGTGCGTGCGTGCGTGCGTGTGTGCGCGTGTGCGCGCGCATGTAATGTACTTACAACTGTGTAGAAAGAGAAATATTTTTGAGCTACTGAGACACAATTTGCACAGTTTACGTCCTGAGCTATATAATATGTTGTCCTGTGTTACCCTTGCATCTTCGTCGTAGATCTAAAACTGGAAATGCCCGACCACGGCAAACTGCAGTCATGCACGTGGTCAACCAGCGCGTTGATCAAATCTTGAGCGCTGATTGTTTATGCATGTCGTGTGTGTGTCTGAAGAAGCCTTCTGTACAAATACGGTTCAGTCAGATCGAGTGAGCGCCGGGCAGGCCAAGTGCGCTGCTGAGCCGTATTGGAATGCGACTGATTGTAAGATCATGACCAGAATTCCGGCTTTGAAAACAACGCGTGCGAGCAGCAGCAGGGCACAGCATGTGTAAACAGACATTGCTAGAGGCGCTGATGCTTGATCGCTGATCTCGCTGCTTCTTGAATGAGTGTGTACTATACTAATACTATAGGTGACATGCATGGTGACGTCAATGCTGCCGATATATGCACGACCCTGTGTGTGAAGCCCACTTGATTTTCTGCATATACGCTGCTATTGCAGCATTGTGCAGGCTACTCGAGCTTGTGGAATCATTACTGCGCAATGACCCTCCTATGCTACCATTTACTGGCTACATCATTACAATTCTAAATGGGCCACTGATCTAAAACTCATTCATTTTATTTTTCAAGCTGTGAATAGAGGATGCAGGACAATTAGGCATTACGATCGGATCAATGATGAGAGGACCACCAAACTCTGCCAGGCTGGTCCCCGATCTCCCGGAAATAGTGCGGGTATGACTTGTGTTGGCTGATAAGCATATACACACTTGGGTTGAAAAATCTGTTTCGAGGCTGGTTTTGCTAAAGTGTTTCAGAAAATTAGTCGATTCAATAACGAGATATATATACATACACCAACGGTCAGCAATACACTAGTTAGTTGTAAGGTTTTGCCCTCCTTCTCTCCATCTCTATCTCTTTCTGTCCCTCTTTCGCTCTCTCTCTCTCTCTCTCTTGCTATATATATATATATATATATATATATATATATATATATACTC